TGGAGTTAGAATTGGAGCAGCTTGAAAAGTCCTTGAATGCGTCGCGGTCCCATGCAAATCGCCTCCATAAAGCATCCGATACCAATGCCATGTACAGAACTGTCCGTAGAGATGTCCCAGCACAGGTCGATTCCCTTGCGCTGACACTGACTGCGGTTGTTGCTGAGGTAGACGAAGTTGAATGTGCCCTCGTCACCACTCACGACATGAGTTGGTTTTCTGGAATCCCGATCATGCATGCAGGTCAGCCACTCACCATCATCCACCATGAAGCTGATAAGGTTTGGTGTGACACTTGTGGTACAGTGCAACCCGGGGATACCTTGACGCAAAGGAGGCCCGTTGGTCGACTTGAAGACCTTTTTCATGCTTTTGAAACCCAATGGTCGCGTTTGTGGAACAGACATCAAGATGTGCCCGACAGTCAATGGGATCAGATCATCGGTTTTGCTCAACGCCAGCTTCGCCCTGTGACTGTTGACCCACCAGACTTGTCTCATGCCCAGGTCATTCGTACGTTGAAGCGAAAATCCAAACATGCTGCCACCAGCTTGGATGGCGTGAGCCGATGTGACCTTTTGGCCTTGCATCCGACAGACTGGAGCCAACTGCTGCGCGTTTTTGAACAAGCCACCACCAGTGGGGTCTGGCCTCGGCAGGTGCTGCAGGGCTACGTGAGATCGCTTGCAAAGGTGGTGGATCCACATGAGGTCGGGCATTTCCGCCCGATAACTGTGTTTTCTAACTTGTATCGGACTTGGTCTTCAATTGCAGCAAGGCACTGGTTGAAAGCAGTTAGCAGCACGGTTGACCCTTTCTTGTGTGGCAATACTGTTGGGGGACGTGCAGCTCTTGTTTGGCGTTACATGTTGGAGCAAATCGAGCAAGCTCACCTTGGAGGCGAACAAGTCTGCGGCCTGTCCGCTGATTTGGTTAAGGCATTCAACATATTGCCTCGCAAGCCAGCGTTGGCAGCGGTGAAACTCATGGGAGTTGACCATGGAACACTTTTGGCTTGGGCAGGAGCGTTGTCAGGTTTTGTCCGGCACTTTGTCATCCAGGGCAGCTTTTCCCCTGGTGTGGAATCATGCAACGGTTTCCCAGAAGGCTGCGCTTTGTCTTGTTTGGCCATGATGGCACTTACCCAACTTTTTCACAGTTGGATGGCTGCTGCCAACGTGATGTTCAGGCCGATTTCCTACGTTGACAATTGGGGGGTGATTTTGCGTTCAGTGGACTACATGAAACAAGCGTGTGATGCGGTGGATGCCTTTGCAGCGGCCCTCAGTCTGGACCTTGACCCAGCTAAGTCCTATTGCTGGGCATCTGATCGACCCGGCCGTGTGAAGCTGCGAGCTGATGGGTTTACGGTCAAACTCAAGAACCGAGAGCTTGGTGCACATGTTGTCTTTTCAGAGCAAATTTCCAATTTTCATTCTTTGGAGAGGTTTCGGCAGCTCGATGACTTTTGGAAAAAGCTTGCGTCTAGCCCGTGTACATTCAGGCAGAAGATCATCCTTGTGCAAAGGGTTGCTTGGCCACGGGCTTTTCATGCAGTGTCAGCAGTTGTCATTGGCAGGAAGCATTTCGAAGCATTAAGGACAAATGTGATGCAAGCTTTGCGGCTCCAAAAACCAGGGGCAAACCCAGCTTTGCAGTGCAGTTTGGAAGGTGCTACTTTTGATCCGTTGGTTTTTGCGGCAGTTGAAACCTTGCGTGATGCTCGTAGCCTTGGTGATGCTGGTTCTGTTCAACTTGGCCTCAACATGGCAGTTTTTGAATCAGAAAAACCGACGTTCAATTCCTTGTCCGAAATTCTTTGCCAGCGTTTGCATAGACTAGGTTTCGAGGTGCATGCTGATGCCATTGCAAGTGATGAGCTTGGCTCTTTCAACTTCCTTCAATGTTCGCTGCAGGAGTTTGTCATGCGTGCCCAATGGACCTGGACCAAAGTTCTTGCAGTCGCAGTGAAACACCGGCGTTCTTTCCGAGGTTTTGAAGCAGTGGACTTGTTTGCTACGCGCAAAGCTTACAACATGTTGGATGCTTATGACCAAGGAATCATCCGAAAGTACTTGCATGGGGCCACCATCACCAATGAACATGCCCAACATTGGTCCGAAGATGGGGTGGCCACTTGTGTCAAGTGTGGAGCGCCAGACTCCACCCGCCACCGTCTATGGGAATGTTCGGCCACCGCTGAGTTGAGAAACAGCATTCCAGATGATGTTTTCCAAGAGCTTTCGCTTCTTCCCAGTGTGTCTCTTGAGCATGGATGGACACTTCGGTCTCCGTTAGCCAATGCCTGGAATCAGTATCTCATTAATATCCCTTCAGCCTTTGGTTTCATGCCCAATGTGCCTTCTCAGCCAATTTTGGATTTGTTTACTGATGGCTCCTGTCTTCATCCGGCCGACAGTGATTTCCGTATGGCTAGCTGGGCAGTTGTGCAGGCGCCACCTTTTGACCTTGCAGTTGACAGAAGCCATTTCATGCCGGTAGCAGCACAGCCGTTGGCAGGCCTGCTCCAATCTGCCTACCGAGCAGAACTCATGGCAGTGCTTGCGGCTCTGGAATATGCAATTCAATCCCATGCCTGTGTCCGTATTTGGACTGACTGCCAAAGTGTCCTGAAGGTGTATCGCAGAGTGGTTATTGAAGACCAGCCTATCAAACCGAATGGCAAACACAGTGACTTGTTGCACCGCCTGAAACAATTGGCCTCCCGCCTTGGTGCCGAAAGACTTGCCATCCTGAAGGTGCCAGCGCATGAGAACAGACTTGACTTTGAGAATGACCTTGACCGCTGGCTTGTAGATGGTAATAATGCTGTCGATGCTGCGGCCCAAGCAGCTAACCGTCTCCGTCCGGCCGAAGTCTGGAGTCTCTGGTCAGCATATGTCGAACAGACCTTGCAATGCCGTAACCAAAGCAACTGGATCAGGTCCCATATGTTGTCGGTCAGCAAAATGTGGGTTCAGTCAGTCATTGTCCAACCTGTGTCTGTCCCGTCGGCCGCCCGGCCAGTCCGTGTCAGTAGGAAGCAGCCTGACTTGGTCTGGGATGACCCATGCAACTTGGTCCTCCAGAGGCCAACATTCGTTAGGTTTTTTGGGGTCCAACTTGCATCCGATGTACAGAGCTGGCTAGGTCAAATTCGAGATGCCATGCAGCCGCTCCGTTGGATTTCGTATCTCCATCTTTTCATCAGCTTTCAACGAAATCGGGGCCCATGGAACATCCTCAAACGGGATGGAAAATGGACCGCCGAATCTGGTAGCTTAGCTTCGCTGGCGAACCATGTCCGGTTACCGATTAGGATCAAGTATTTCCGCCTGATGCTGCAGCAGTACTTCAAGGACGCCAATGTGCGGTACAGCTGTGGCACTGTGCGCGCGTTCAGCCAATGGGTTTTGTGCTTCAAGGGGTCTGTTGGGTTCCAAATTTCCCACCATGAGTTTGAAGCTTTGGAAGAGTATCTTAGCCAACAACTGGTTCGACCGGCGACGGGGGCGGGTGGTTCTCTTGATCTTTTGCGGGGCATTTGAGCCGCACCAGACGGCCGTTTCTGCGAGACCCAGGTCGGCAGCGGTGCGCTCAGAGGGAAACATTTTTTCATTTTCCATTTCATATATGGGATAATCCTTCCCATTTGACTTTCATATTTTTCAGAGGGGTTGAAACCACCAACCAGCTTGGTTTTGGTTTGCAACTAGGCGAACTGTTGGATTTCTAGAGATATAGATGTCTATAGATAGATGAGCCAAGAAACTGGCAGGAAGGGCCAAAAAAGGATGGGGCCCCCGGTCGATAGCGTTCAGTTGCCGAACATAAGTGGCTGGATTCTATGGTTTATAGTAGATATAACTATAGTTAATGGAGGTTTTGTTATGGTTTATGCCAACTTATAACTAGGGGTCCCCATCCTGTAGTTATAAGTAGTTTCTAGCCCCATCTAACTATAGTTATATCCCCTATAAACCCCAGTTAAACAAGTTACTTGCGTCAACTTCGCTAACTACGAGGCCCCTTCCTGCGGGATGCCCCTTCCAAATATGTGGGATTTTTTCAGGAAGATTGCCATCCACCCATAAACCCAGCTCGAGGGGTCACCGAAATATCCCCCCTCTATGGAATATGAATGGGATATGGATTGAACATGGATACAGATACCATAACAACCTATAGGATTTGATGATATGGTATGGTTTCTGAAGTCATGAGGGATCCCCAAGTCACCATGGGTTGAAAAATACGAGCCATAGTCTAATATTGGGATGATTTGGGTGTACCTCCATGACTTTCGAAACCGCCATTCACGGTCAAAAGAGGATGTATATATATATACACATTATATATATACACAGTTTATAAATATATATACACATTATGAATATATATATATACATATGTCATACATATATTTGATATACATATATTTGACATATTTCGCACCATGATATGTATATATGACCAATGAGATTGACGGCTCGAATATTTCTGGTGAAACCAGAAGAGCGTGGGTGTAGGAAGCTACCCCCCAATGAAATACAACCTTTATTGGTAGATGATAACGAAATGTACCCTCTAGTAAATTAACATGGACCCTGAAAATGACCAAAATTATAGTGGAAACTAGTCTTCCAACCCCTATCTGCCAGGGTCTATGTTAATATACCAGAAGGTAAGAAGTAATATGCCAAACCATCCCCTCTAATTTTTCAACTGTAGACTCTACGTATCTCTACTACTCTACGTTATCCCTTCTACAAATCCCATCCAAAAATATGATCGATCATCTTAAAAAATCGCATTATGATCCCATGATTATCACTACATGGGACCATAATGGGACCATAACTCGACAATAGTTATAATAGGATGATCGATAACATTATAATTATGATAATTATTTTGATCCCAATATCACTACAATTTTTATACCATTGCCATCCCATTAACATCCCATGACTATCCCATTACCATCCTATGAACCGCAGGTAGACGAGGACAGCATTTGCACAGATCGTGTCTCTCGGTGCCATCGAATTCGATTTTGGGATTTCATGGGAAACTCATGGGGATATGCCCCAAAGCCTTGTTGGTTGATTATTGTATGGGGGTTCATGGGAAATTTTGCCATCAACGGGGAATCCCGTTACCAACCATGGAATGAAGTGTAAGAATCAGCCAGAAATCGTCATGAATTAGCCATGTTTTTCTCCTAAAAAATCACAAGTTTTAGTAGGCGAGTCATCGAACTCACCATTCTCATCCCTTTTCCATAGCAAACTGTTCGTTTCCATGGTCAAAGACCGGGTCATTGCCGACCTCCGCCTTTCGCCATGCTTTCGCCATGCTTCGCGCTTTGCTCCGCCATGATTCGCCCGTTGAGGTCAACTTTCAGCAAGGACATCTAGTGAAAGTACGAAAGCTAGACCTGGATGAGGCAGGGGCACCTCCTGGGTGACCGATTTGGAGTAAAAATCATGGGATGATGAGGATGATGATGATGATGAGGATGATGAGGATGATGATGATGATGAGGATGATGAGGATGATGAGGATGATGAGGATGAGGATGATGATGAGGATGAGGATGATGAGGATGACGATGATGATGAGGATGAGGATGATAAGGATGACGATGATGATGAGGATGAGGATGAGGATGATGAGGATGATGAGGATGATGAGGATGATGAGGATGACGATGATGATGAGGATGAGGATGATGAGGATGATGAGGATGATGAGGATGATGAGGATGATGATGAGGATGATGATGATGAGGATGATGAGGATGACGATGATGATGATGAGGATGGGTGTGATGAGGATGATGAGGATGAGGAGGATGATGATGAGGATGAGGATGATGAGGATGATGAGGATGAGGATGATGAGGATGACGATGAGGATGAGGATGAGGATGATAAGGATGATAAGGATGATGATGAGGATGAGGATGATGAGGATGACGATGATGATGAGGATGAGGATGATGAGGATGACGATGATGATGAGGATGAGGATGATGAGGATGATGAGGATGATTGGGATGTTGATGATGATGATGACGATGAGGATGATGATGATGATAATGAGATGGATGAGAATGAGGATGATGATGATGATGAGGAGGAGGAGGAGGTTGAGGGTGATGATGATGATAATGGTGATGATGATGATGGTGGTGATGAGGATGATGATGATGGGGAGGAGGATGAGGATGATGATGATGATGATGAGGATGATGATGACGATGACCATGACGATGATGAGCATGATGATGAGGATGAGGATGATAATGGTGATGATGATGATGATGTTGCTGATGATGATGATGGTGATGATGATGATGAGGATGATGATGATGAGGATGATGAGGATGATGAGGATGAGGATGAGGATGATGAGGATGATGAGGATGATGATGATGATAATGAGATGGATGAGAATGAGGATGAGGATGATGATGATGATGAGGATGATGATGATGAGGATGATGAAGAGGAGGAGGAGGAGGTTGAGGATGATGATGATGATAATGATGATGATGCTGATGATGGTGATGAGGATGAGGATGGTGATGATGATGGTGATGATGATAAGGATGATGTGTTTTAACGTATCGTGAAGCATGGTGAAATTGAACCCGAAATTGGGTCTGTCGAAGAGTTGTAACCCGAAGATCCGAGGGGCTTTCCATTTCCCCAAGTTTGAGACACGGCCAGATATTATGCTGTTGAATTTACAAATCTACAGAGATCCAGCCTTTTCCCACTTGGATATGCCCCAAAAAAAAACATTGTGAAAATCAGTACTTTAGATGTTACGTCCAAAATGTTCATTGGTTGAGATACTATTTTCACCCATGAACTTCCCGTCCACTGCCCGCTGGGAGGTACAGCGGCTTTGTTCCGTGCCTGATACGCTTCCATGGGAGCCCAACCTACAAGATGAGGCGAACGGAAAGGACACCGGGTTTCCCTAAACAATATGGTTTGTGAATGGGGTTTAACCATACCATACTGGGGATAACATCCAGATTTTTCACTCCTCTTAGGAAAACAGAATCATTATTGTCATGATTAACCAATTTTGATGTCTGGATGAATTATAAACCACGTCCTAGCTGGGATGCATATGGTAAATATGGTTTGACACCCTCCAAGAGCATACCCAGTAGTATGGACGCAGGTTTTTTTCTATTATTATCATTGTTGAATATGATTATTCTTGCGAATTTTTGACCAACAACAAAGAGATCGATAAATCATACTCGGATCATACAAAAAAGTAATCTCCATAAATAAATCATCCAAAAATTCAAGAAGATCTTTGATCAGCTAAAAAATGTGCAAATAAAGGAGAGACCCCTAAATCCATTGGTTTTAGCAAATCATGCTCCCACTAAACATATGATTGTTGTGATTTGCGTTGCCGTTGTTATTCGTGGGTGTGCAATTCCACTTAATGCGCCTGGGTGTATAGCAATAGTTATACGGGTAATAACTGATGGTGGTTGTAGGAACTATGATGGTACCCATCAAAATCACCCCAACAGTGGTTCTGCCCGTTAAATCCCGTTATCCTTTCACTAAAATCTCAGTAATGACCGATTCTTTCATGACACAAGCACAAGTCCTGCAAGAAGCAGCCCAACTGGAGATGGTTGACCACAATTCTCCAATGCTTCTTCCACTAAAAAACCATATTTGGTGAAAAATCCTTCCACAAATTGTAACATCAAACTAATTGAGTTGCAGATCTAGAATAAGGGTCAGTCCTTATTAACTGTGAATATTAACATGTTCACATATATATATCTATACACATACATATATCATATATATATAAAGTAAAGATATTTCTATATGTACATAAATCATATATATATATATTTCTTTTCATATTTACATACACAAATATACATATATTTGTATGTACATATACATATATTTACACATAAACATATATTTACATATGTACATATGTATGCATATATATACATTTCTATTCATATATATTTACATATACATACATATATATTTATATGTATATACATGCAAATATATTTACATATATACATACATATGTTTACATATATTTACATTTATATGTATATACATATCTATTTACATATGTATTTACATATATACATGCATATATGTTCACATATATACATATACATATGTTCATTTACAAATTTTCACATCTATCCAATCTATAAATATATACATATTTCAATGTATATACACATATTTTGAAATCTACATATATATACATTTTCATTTAATTGCAAATATATACGCATATGCATTTTTATATTTACATATATATATATGTTAGTTATTTACATATATACATACTTATATTCAAACACACATATATATATATTTACACATTTTTTAATTTACATATATATATATTTGCAGACATTGACATTTAATTACAAGTATATACACATATACCTTTTTTACATTTTTTATATTTACATAGTTTTTCATTTATAAACATATATATATACACATATATTATACACATATATACATATATTTTCATATATATATACCCGTTCGTTTACATATTTTCCACAAATAGTTATTTACATATATATTTACATATTTATATATACACATATTCATACAATTTTATATACATATACATACATATTTGTACATTTACAAAGATGTATATATATAGTCATATTTGTGCATTTACATAGATGTATATATTTTTATACACATTATATATACATATACTTGTACATTTACATAGATGCATATATTTATACATATATATATATACATTTACATACATATATTTACATATAGATATACATTTATTTTTTATTTGCATATATATTGACCTATATATGTATATATTTACATATACATATATATATGCATATTTTTTGGATTTACATATATTCACATTTTCACACAATTACATTTTTATACATATATAGTTTTACATATTTACATCTGGAAATATACATACATGAATATTTACATATACATACACATATATATACATTTATGTATTAATTTGTATTTACATATAGATTTCAATACATATGTATATATACACATATGCCGATTTTTTGTATATATTTACATGTATTTATATATATATTTATTTATTTAGATCGATTTACATATATATACCTATTTACACATATATAAATATACATGTGGGATTAACATTATTTTAACTAAACTACCAAACTACTATAGCTCAGTAGTTCATCACCATAGTTTAGTCATATTACAAACTTTCCTTCTCAACCCGAACTTTCCTAACTTCTAGTCATATTCCAGCTATCACACTGTTAGTAACTAAATTTCCTAACTTTCCTAAATATTCCTAACGTTTCCCCAGGCATGTTCATGCATATATCCTAAATATTTCCTAACTTTCCTATATATTCTTAACGCTTCCCCAGGCATATTCCTAAATATGTCTTAACTTTCCTAAATAATCCTAACATTTCCCCAGGCATATTCCTCAATATTTCCTCCATATGCCCTAACTTTCCCAAATCTTCCTAACGTTTCCCCAGGCATATTCATACATCTCCTAAATATGTTCTAGCACTCCTAAATATTCCTAACGGTTTTCCAGGCATATTCCTCAATATTTCCTCAATATGTCCTAACTTTCCTAAATATTCCTAACGTTTCACCAGGCATATTCCTGAATATTTCCTAAATATGCCGTAACTTTCCTAAATATTCCTGACGTTTCCCCAGGCATATGCATACATATTTCCTCAATATGTCCTAACATTCCTAAATATTTCCTAAATATGTGTTAATAAATATTCCTAATTAACGTTTCCCCAGGCCATATTCCTAACGGTTCCCCAGGCATATTCCTAAATATCTAATTCTTTCACCTCATTCCAAACGTTTCCAGCACGAGGTGGAGGGCGTCACGTGGAAGCCCAGCATGGCGCAGCTGCTGGGCTTTGTGGGCAAGGCGATCTGAGCAGCGATGGGAAAATATGCGGGTAAAACAATAAACCACCTAAAATGGGTTTAATGTGGTTAATGGGTTTTAAATGTGTTTTATCGTTTTTCCCACAGAATCCCACAGATGTGGTTTAATGGATGTTAAATGGTTGACCACATGTGAAATGGTTAAGCACATTAAACCAAATGTTAATGCGTTTTAACCATAGTTAAATGTGGTTTGATGGATGTTTATGTATGGTTAATCAAAACGAATGTGGGAAACCCAATGCAATAAACAACCTATTTTACCGTTCGGGAAGTTTGATATACCCATGACCAAAAATGATCATGGCAACGTGGAAGATTTTTACCATTACCCATCAAGTTTATCTGTCATGGCTATCTTGGAATGGTAAAGATACCACCTATTTATGGTAAAATTGGGTTTAGCATTGTTTTACCCAAATTAACATCTTGAGATTTTCCCGGCTAACACTTTGACCATCATAGATCCTGAACAATCACTCACCCATTGTCCCATTGTAGTAGAAATTATATACTCTTCCCCTACCTGCCAGGGCTAGTACCCATTGCTGTATGTTGATAATGATACCGTAGTATATTATCGAATATTTATGTATATATATTTATATTAATGATAGTATACATCCATTATGAGAGTCATTATGCTGAGGTTTTGATCTGCCTATGTTTGGATTCCCACGGGATGGATTTGCTGAAGGGTTGTTTTTTCAAAATCCCAAGGTGTTAACCCGTTATTTGGGGCATCTACTAGGAATACAATCAAACATGGCAAGGAAAAATCCGAAAATGGAAGTTTAAGGGGAAAATCATCAAACGAAATGCTGGAGTCTCCAGCACGCCATACTATTATGTGTGATTACCCGAAGGTATTTCCAAAATGGGGATACACACCAACCAAAATGGTGATACAATGGGGGTAACCAAGTAGCCATACTCCCAAAACTGAAGGGATTTTTTCAAGGTTTGCCCCCATCTTTTTTGGGCTACAGGTGTTCCCTCAAAACATTCCATTTAATTGTTATGTTCATTGGCTAAGCCTCCAGTGGGTTCTCATAGGAACCCTCAATTTACTGAATCTTGAATGATCCACTCAATTGTGTTAATCCTCCATTTGGTTAATGTCCATTTATTCATTTAATGGTGTTTTGTCAATCCTCAATTTAGGTATTTGAAGTAATGATCTCCTGACCAGAAACTCGTTCTTGGCTGGTGGTTTCAAACATGGTTTGTTTTCAACCATGGAAAGGCGCTGATCTTCTCCCATTAACTGTCCTATGATTGCAGGCTCAACCGCCAACCAGAGATATCCCGAGGAAATTCCAATATCCCCATTGTGGTTAGAAATTGTCCTAGTACTTCCCATTCGCTACCTATAGTCGATGGTCAAAACCACAGGATTTATCACCAACTAAACATCAATTAAAAATCATGTATCATTTGTATTCCCATCATATTCCCATATTATCCCCATAACATACCCTATACGGTTTTTGGTCAGAAATCCTGCACCAGTTGAAAACGGTGGTTGTTCCCATTCTAATGCCATTATTTACCGTGTTTCATAGGTGTTGATAGGTGTTGATTGGTGTTTTTTGTTCCCAACTGTCCCAACTGGTGCAGGATTTCTGACAACCGCAGGTCGAGACGCGGCGGAAGGATAGCTGCCGGGTGAGCTTTGGAGACTCACTCGTGCCTTTGACGGAGGGAAGACCTTGACTATGCTGATGGGAGTCATTATGGGATCAATGATGATGATGATGATGTATATCTATATATATATATGATGGGTTTCCATAAATGGTGGGGGTAACCTAAATCATCCATTTTATCTTTGGGTTTGCTCTGAAATCAACCATCCAGCGATAAAAGTGGCAACGCCATATTTGGAACTCCCCATATATTTATTTTTTATCATATATATATGTATTATATTTACATATATATATACATATAATTATTTATTTTTATTTACATATACAAATTGATGTATATACATATATATATATATACATATATATATATATACATACATGTTAGTAAGTCCCTGGATTTTAGTGGATGACTTTTTGAACATCCATCCAGGAACTGGATCTTTGGTCAGGGGCGGTTTTAAAAACTGAGGTTTCAGGATGGGGCGTTCAGTTGCATTCTATGGTTTACGGTAGATATACCGAGCTAGTTAATGGGGGTTGTAAACCAACTTATAACTGGGGGGCACCATCCTGTTAGAGGTTTGAAATAAAGATCCTTTTTCTACTGGTTCATAAACAGAGTGGTAACAAGCTTGGAACAACCCGTAGATCAATGATCATACGTGGTATACCAAACCGGACCGTCTAGTGGCATGCCTATTTGAAGATTACGTTCAAGGATCAGCAGCCTTGTGGATGCCAACTCAAGTAAAACGAAATGTGAGAGATGCGATGGGTTCGCCCGTTTTTGGGGAGGGACTTCTTGACCGGTGATGAATCTTCCCTCCCCAATGTGAGATAGTTCCTTTCTGATACCACTCGGAGGTGCAGAAAAGAGGTGTTTTCTTCAATTCGATATGGTAAAGGCCGGTGTTTACCTTCCTTTAAATACCCAACCAGATCATCATTTTTAACCAGATCATCATTTTTATGGCATCCGAAAATGGTTGCTGGTTTTTCAGCTGCTGGTTGATGGCAGGGTAATCTTTTTCGAGGTGTGGTGGCCTTTGACAATGCTGGAGGCTCCTTTATGCCCACAGGCGAAGCTCCGAACCGGACCTGTGGAAGATCGATGTCGAGGTTTACCCTCTGGTAAACGTTAACAAAAAACTATGGAAATTCACCATGTTTAATGGGTAAATCAACTATAAATGGCCATTTCCAATAGCAAACTGTTAGTTTACCAGAGGTTTAGTAAGTTTAGTTGAAAAATAAATGGTGTCAGGGATTGTTTTTTGGAGCCCCAGCGGTGATTTGATGAGGAGTTTCTCAATGTTTCAAAGCATGGCACAGCCCTGGTACAGCCCCAGAGAGTGGATGGTTCAACGTTGCAGCCATGAAAGATGATCCTCCACAAGGTGATAGGAATTTTCCATGCTAAGATGATCCTCCATCGTCCGCGAGTGTCGCTGTGGTTGTGATTTGAATTGCTCCACAATGGCCATGGTTATAATAGTAATTATCCTCTGGTAAATTAACATTTTTAATGGAGCAATTCTGGATAAATTATCCTCTGGTAAATTATAACCTATGGTAAATTAACCCTGAAAATTATTATTTTTTAATGGAAACTAGTCTTCCAACCCCTCTCTGGCTGGGTCTATGTTAAATTACTGGAGGGTCGGTTACATGAGTTTGTAGGATAAACTACGTCCTAACCCGGATGCATATTGATTAATTAATCAAATATGGCTTAACACCCAGTAGTATACACATAGAATATGGTTACTGTGTTTTTTGTTACTACTATGTTATTCGTATTGTTATTTATTACTTTTACCAATACTAATTACCATTACCATTACTATTTTTAACATTACTTTTTTAGAGAGAGATACATCACATATGTCTAGATGAGTTAGAATGACCTCACGCCAGATATATGTGCCCAAGGTCAAAAGTTGGATGGTTTATCATTGGGTTTCCCACTATGTCCCCAGTTTACTTGATACTATTAACTATACTACCATGTGTTGTTAAAGTTCTATATATATATATATATAGCTTTATATGTGTATAATGTGTATATATATATGTATGTATATATATATATGTATGTATATATATATTTATATTTATGTATACGTATATATATATATATTTATTTATATTTATGTATACGTATATATATACACGTGTATTTATATGTATGTATATATATATGCGTAGATGTACAGTATATATATATATGTCTGGCTACATAAAAACGACCTCACGCGTCGTCAGAGTAGAATTCGACCTAAACCCCCGAATTAAGCGTGCCATGTGGGGTTAAGTCTATAGGTTTTTCAAAAATGCAATTTTTGATGTTATTGGTGGCCGACAAATCAACAAATTACTTTACTTCGTGTGATCCCCACCATGACATTTATACATTTTCTTACTGGCAAATCTTCTGGCATTCTATCTGACATATCTTCTGACATTCTATTTGGCATTCTATCTAGCATATCTTCTGGCATTCTATCTTCTGGCATTCTATCTGGCAAATCTTCTGGCATTCTATCTGGCATATCTTCTGGCATTCTATCTGACATATCTTCTGGCATTCTATCTGGCATTCTATCTGGCATATCTTTCTGGCATATATTCTGACATATCTTCTGGCATTCTATCTGGCATATCTTCTGGCATTTCTTCTGGCATATCTATCTGGCATATCTTCTGGCATATTTTCTGGCATTCTATCTGGCAAATCTTCTGGCATATTTTCTGGCATTCTATCTGGCAAATCTTCTGGCATTCTATCTGGCATATCTTCTGGCATATTATCTGGCATTCTATCTGGCATATCCTCTGGCATATCTTCTGGCATATCTTCTGACATTCTTTCTGACATTCTTTCTAACTTTCTTCTGCACATTCTTTGTCCCATATCTTCCTACATGAGGTCCGGCAGGGAACACTTGGCGCGGATGGTCGCGGTTGAGGTCCGGCACGGAACACTGGGCGCGGATGGTCGTGGTTGAGGTCCGGCAGGGAACACTGGGCGAGGATGGTCGTGGTTGAGGTCCGGCAGGGAACATTGGGCGTGGATGGTCGTGGTTGAGGTCCGGCAGGGAACACTGGGCGTGGATGGTCGTGGTTGAGGTCCGGCAGAGAACACTGTGGATCGCGGGTCGCAGTTGAGCAAGGACGACGAGGACGACAAGGAGGACGAGGAGGAGGAGGACGAGGCAGGAGGAGGCGGAGGAGGAGGAGGAGCAGGAGGAGCAGGAGGAGGAGGAGGACGAGGAGGCAACTGACATAAAATCTAACAACCCTCACCTGGCAGGTGGGGAAAAACAAGTTTTTGAGAAACCAGTAGTTGGCGAGACTCGAGCCTGTACAGTTTTCTCAAAAACGTCGTTTTTTGAGGTTTTCGCGCAAAAGTCCAAAAAAGACGTTTTTGAGAAACCTGGCCAGGCTCGATTCTCCCCAGGTCCAAATCCGGTGGCCAAAGGGGTTCAACCAGAGGTGTCGATCCTAAGCCATGTAAGTTTCTCACCAGCAAGAGATTCTTGAGAAACCAGTAGTTGGGGAGACTCGAGCTTTGATTCAGGATTCCCTTTTCCAACTACTTAACGGCCTACAATAATTTGTTATTTCCTGCGACCTAAACCTTATTTCAATTTTGAAATAAATAAATCGACCCAGCGACCTACGAATTATTATAATTTACCCAGATATGTATATATATATATATACGTACATATATATATACATATATGTTTACATACAAACATACATACATATATATATACATGTGTATATATATATACGTACTTTATCTTACTTTACATAGTATACTACTTATTATGTATTACATATTAATATACATATATATATAGAGACTTGTACATAAAAATATAGTGAACTATATATAACATCCGGCTTCCCGTATCTTCCCATATTTTCTTCATTTAGGTTCAGCACTGCACGTTCTCTAGCTACGTCATACCTGGCCAGGGTCATTTGCTGCGCCTGGCAACGGCAGAATTCCACATCTGTGGCTTGGTCCGACCCTGCCGTGCCAGCTGGGAAATTGGCCGGATCCATGGAGGTTTACTTCGCGAAGATCAACTATAACGGTGATCCTCCAGTGGGGGTATACCAAGAATATCTGATTGTGCCATATATTGGGAATAATCATCCCAACTGACGAACTCATATTTTTCGGAGGGGTTGAAACCACCAACCAGATATGATGTGAGTTCGGTACCTGTTACACATGACAAAACCCTTCATCCACTGCGAAAAAATCATCATTTTGCCTGCTAGAATTGTAATTTTGATGGTATACCCAATTTCAGACACACCCCGATAGCGGAGCTTGTTTGGTTGCTGGTTGCAGATACGTGAGTTACACTGCAAAATGGCAACAGATTTTAGAAGTGAACAGGGAATAGGAATTCCAAGGATTTTCAAAACGATCAAGAAAATCATATGGATTTACCCCAAGATTTTCAACTAGTTTTCAATCATTCCCAATTTTTTGGTCACTTTTGGCACCCTTTTGTTCAGTGGGTCATGAAACATTTTTCTGGGAAATCCCCATTTTGGGCCTGATAAAAAGAGGGGAAATCCCATATGGGTTTATCCAATTGAATCCCCATGAAATCCCTATGTTTGATGGTTACATATCCCATAAATCATTATACCCTCTGGTTATGAGTAACAGTTTGCCATGGAAAATCACCATTTTCAATAGGTAAACCATCTATTTCTATGGGCCATCTATACCATGGCTATGTTAAGTAACCAGAGGGTAAATCATACATCCATAGCTGGAATCATTCAGTTGCCAACCTTCCAGGATAGTGCTTTTCTAAGTGATGGTGTCCATGGCCCATTGAAAGCAGCAATCAGATGTGTATTCCAGTAGGGTTTTGTGGATAACTCCTATATCTATATGGAGGTTTCCTCCATGAAGATAACCCCAAATCATCCATTGTTTTATACGATTTTCCATCATAAACCATCCATCATCCAGCTATTGCGATAAAGGGGTACCCCATTTGTGGAAACCCCCTATATTTTATGCATAACAGTGGCATTTCTTATCCCATGACATAAACAAACTCAACTAAACTGGGCGAAGTTACGGTACATTGTAATCGCCAGGAAGTCACCGAGTGTTTTATACACGTCCAGTTGTATGCAATCATTATACCCTCTGGTTATGACTAACATAGCCATGGAAAATCACCATTTTTTATAGGTAAACCATGGCTATGTTAAATAACCAGAGGGTATATATTATGATGGTATGTTGTGTTAGGTTACATTATGTTGTTTGAAAATATAGAGGCCCGTAATGTTTTTTATTTTATTTTTTATAATTATACATGATGATAAAAAAAACATTAGTACATTAGTATATGGAGGCTCATACAATGATTATTATGTTATTGTATTATACATTAATTATAACGGTATAATGTGGAGGCCCCTGGGTATTCTATTCTCCCAGCATTGAAGGCATTTTTTTTACTCTGCAGTTTCATGCTTTCCACTGTAGATGCTCCCTTAAAATCAAGGTGTTCCGCATGATTTTACCACTGGAAATAGGGAGAAATCTTCTTAACCACTAAAAAACTCAGGTCTTAGTCATAATTTTCCCACTTAAAATGGGCAATGAATCATCATTTTCCACCGTTTCCGTATGGATTTTCCACGGTTTCCGGACCCAGGTAACGGCTGCGGCTGCGGTTTGTCGGACACCTCGGCCCATTGCGGAGAGTGTCAGCAACACTTCTGCTCGCATTGTGCGCAGGAGTTCGGTTCGGTTGGGATGGTCATTGGGGCAGTAAATATATCTGGGAATTGCAGAGGAAACAATAGGGAAATCATCCTCAAATGGCCTGAAATAACAAGGTTAGTGAAATATGAAAATGTTCCCGGAAATATGAGGTTTCCTAAAATGGGGTACCCCTTTATCGATGGATGGTTTGTGATGGAAAATCCGAAAATGAAAAGGATGCTATGGGGTATCCCCATTCTAGGAAATCTCCAAATATGGTCATTTATTTGGATTCTAAGCATGGTTTGGTCAGTGCACAGCGCATTTTTTCTACTGCGAACTTGCGAGCTTTATAGGGAATTCTAATATCTATATCTGATTATCCATACGCTACTGTATCGTGTGAGTAAATATCATTTTTACCACCCATGACTGGGAATGGTAAGTTTATACCACCTATAAAAGTGGTGATGACTGGGGGTTGGTAAACATGGCATTGTTTGACCCACATAGGATATGGCTATGGGTCTAAAGCCTGTTGCGTAGCTGGATATAGCTGTTCATCCGAAATTGACTTTTTGTTCATAGGTTTTGACATACCCCCATATGGTCATTTCTTGGAGAAAATGGGGATTCTGACATAGCTGGTTAAGTGTTGGAAAATTAATATGCTAGTTGATTGGGTCATCAGGGATTTGAAGCATCAAACTATGGGAATATAGATATACCCTCTGGTTATGACTAACAGTTTGCCATGGAAAATCACCATTTTTAATAGGTAAACCATCTATTTCTATGGGCCATCATTTTCCATGGCGAACTGTTAGTCATAACCAGAGGGGAAGTGATAAATGTTATGATGATTCTGGGTGATGACACTCTATGATCAACCAGATCAACCATGGCATGAATGGGGCAATGGAAGAATCATTTGGGCTTTCTATTGAATGGTATAGTAGTTTTGTATTTTTTTATAGATCTATCCTGCGATAATTAAAAAATTGGTTGGCAAGTGAGAAATCCCCGAAGGAGCTTTGGAGCTGGTCTTTTTGTGCCACATTTTCGGCAATTGGAGTGTCAAACAAGCAAGACCACTGATTATGGGTGTACATGTATAATATGTATATATATACGTATAATTATATAACCTATATAAATACAGTATACTATATGTAATTTTATAAATTATGTATATTCATATATCACCCACCATTACTTGTAGATATGAGCTTGTCTGAGTTAAAAACTCATGGTTCACGACCTCATTTTCCGAAGAATTGCCATATAGTGTGGTTTATCCATTTTTCGACCCAGCCGGTCAACATCCCAATGATTGCTGCAGCCCTTACATGTGGTAAACCAACAGACAAATGTTTTTTAATTCCCAACTTGGTGTCAAAAAATTGCCCTACGTTTTGGCCTTTGGATGTATTTGGATGGTAAATTCAAGACCAACCGACCAACCCCCCGGTGAAGTTCATTTGTCTCGCCATGGCAAACCGCCCAGGAGGAAATTGGAGAGTCAATTGAAGTTGGCGCCAGGGTTCTGTGGCGGGAAATCAAGGTAACAGCCATGGCCATGGCCCTCCTGGTGGGCAAGCAAGATGCAGGTTATGGGAAGAACTGATACAACCATGGGATGACAAAATACAAATGACATAATGGGCATGTAACCATCCCCAAATCCTGAGAAACGAATCCTTTAGTAACAGTTTTGCTGTGGAAAATAGCCACAGATTACTCCTTAACACTGCAGTGGTTTCGGGTAGTGACTTGTGATGCGAGACTGATTACACCAGGTTTTCCAGAATCCCCAGCTGGGATAATCGGATACACCCATCAAATGGGCCATTAAAAGATAGGGAACGATGAATTTCATGGGGATTTCAAGAAAGTACACACCCATTAAAACTTCTGACACACCCATATATTAGTACGATTGGAACTTGGATCAGGCTGCAGCGGAGATTGGGGTTTTCTAAGATTTCTGGTTGGTGGTTTGGAACATTTTTTATTTTTCCATATATTGAGAATAATAACCCCAACTGACGAGCATATTTTTCAGAGGGGTTGAAGCCACCAACCAGTTTGGGTGAAATTCCCATTTGGCTTGTTTGAAGATAGGGTACCATCCAAGCCATCCCCCAGTTTACCATCATTTTTTGATGTTTTTTACGTGCCATAAACAGTGGGCCAAAAAGCATCATTTTAAAGGGCGAAACCATATCATAGTGATGCTTAATGATACCTTAAACGGTTGGTTTAATACCTATACATCATCCACATTATAGTTGGGGATTCCACGTCTATTCACACACCCATGTATATATGATTATACCCCATTTGTTTGTATCCATTGATGTTGTTGGTTAAATTTAATTAAAACCTAAGTTCCAACAACAACAACAACAGCAACCCATTACAGGTAAGTTATATCAACACGGGGGAGGCCTCCCACCACCATCCATTGTATCCCCATGAATCATGGGATAATTCCATCATAGGGCTGATCCCACAAATTATATATCCCATGATTTTTGGGGCTGCTGATGGTTCTATTCCATTATATATATATAACTATATATATATACATATACATCCTGGATCCCAGTTTATAAATTGATTCGCCAGGCATATCCGCAACTAATAAAACCTTTTGTAAACGTTCACAGTTCGATGTGGAAAAGAAACTATAAAAGTAGATCATTTTCCAAGCCACCATGACTCACATGGCCACAGCTACCTGAGGTCCGGTTTTTGAACAACGCCGCAGATGTCTGTTGGAATGACTGCCCCGGAGACAGCTTGCCCTTTTTGCGAGGTGCGGGGTGGGAAATCACCGGCACACTGGAAATGGATTTTTTGGAGGTCAAAACTGGCGATACCAAGTGCTTTACAAAAGGGGACTTTAAAGAAATGGTACCCTTTAGAATGCCAGTGAAGTATCTCTCCATTGGTAAGAATCCGAAGTTTGGGTATGAAATGGCATGCTGGTTTTGATGATCAATTTATCGGCATTTAGTGATATTGGAAGCATCCCAACTACCATTTTCAAAACTCTCAAATATCCACAGTTGTTCCAAAAAACGGGGCCCGTCTATTTGATGAAATATTCGTCGAATCACCCCTTTGATGAAATATGGCAATGTAGAATCCTAATGCAATCACAATCCCAATGATTATTGATGAATCACGAATAATGTGATATATAATTATTGATTATAACAATGAATGTGTTATATAATTATTCATCAATGAATCACCAATTATTTATGAATACCAATGTTATATAATCGAATGTATCAGACTAGTCGAATCACCACGGTGTTTACCACTTCTTGATACCCACTATGAATGTAGAATATGTTGTTATTTTCTCCATGGCTTTTCCACATATTTTTGGATCAGTTTTCCTAATATACAAAGTAAGGTGAATCATAAAAAATTCTCAATTCTCTGGATCAGCCCACAAAAGGATGGGTGTGTATATATATATATACATTCATACATAAATACATATATATATACATGTTTACATATATACACATATATACATATTTACATAGATACATAATATACATATACATGTACCACCTGTTCTTATCACCAATGAAAGGATGCTGTCCGCAGCAACTGTCCAATGGCCCTCAAACACACCCAGGCTGACCTCAGCCTTACGGCTGCAGTTGATGAAATCCTGTTGGACCTCCCTTCACTGGTTTCATGCATGGATATTGACATGAATGCAGAGATCAAGGTGCATATCATCTGTTCGAATCACAATATATACCCTCTGGTAATTTAACATAGCTATGGAAAATCACCATTTCTAATGGGAAAATCCACTATTTCTATGGTCATTTTCAATAGCCATGTTAAATTACCAGAGGGTATGTGTATATCAACATATATCAACATATGTCAACATGTGTCAACATTGTCCCATGATATCCGGGGGAAAATGCCTGTCGATGGCAGGCGACCTTTGTCGCATCTCCGAGTTGCAGGGCGCCTGGTTTCGCTCGGGCCATCTGTGGGCTCCAGTGGCGGCGGTCGAAGCGTAGCCATGGCAGGGGGTGGAGCGAAAATGTCGAAAAATCGCCGGGAAAAGATCGACAAATTGGGACTTCAACGAAAAAAATTGGAAGAAGATCTGGGTTTCAACATTCCACAGTTGGAAATATGGAGAGGTGATTTTGAAATGGAAGAACATGGGTTACCCACAAAAATGCGACAACCTTGATGTTTTAATATCAACAACGGGGAAACATAGGGATTTGACGCACAAGTTTTGTGAAAATCCTGATTTGATATGCAGTTCTCAAAGCCTGGAAAAGGGACATTATTTCTGGGTTGATTCCTCAATCCCGACTGATGTTTCCGAGCCACGCAGCGGAGGCCGCGGCATTTTGAAACAACATGTTTTTGGCAAGTTTGGCAACGGACATAAGTATGTGGAAATATGTGGAAATGTCCATATACATATACATATACATATATATAATATATATATATTGATATTGATATTTATATTTATATACACATCATTTGTATAGTACTGTCACAGATGATGTTCTTTGATTTTCTCTTGAAACATGAGGATTTCAAAGGATGCCAGGGCAGAATACTCCCTTTCCAAAATGAAAAGTAGACTATTCATATTACCTAGTGATAATTTTCTTTAAGAATATGTAAGAATAACGGCAATCCCAATGATTTTTGTTCCCCTTCAAAAGCCTTGGTGACCATGACCAAAAAAACCCAGGTATTCCGCAACGGAGGATCCCGACGATCTGAGTCAGTGGAAGGGAGCCGGTACCGATACCCATGAAGTGGACTATGGGGCAGAGGAATGGGCGAGCACCAGCACCGATTTGAAGGAGATTCCAACTCCCATGTTTTCGCTGGTGGCACGTGTCTCGGTTTTCGAAGTTTTTGTTTGCGAAGTTTAGTCGTGAGTCGTGAAACAAGCCATGCTTTGCTGGATGAGGGATGTTTGGCATAGTGCGGCATATTTGTCAGAAATTCCATGGATCAACGCATAATTTTAGTGAAAAAAAACATCTGGTATTTAGTCACTTGGTTTCTCAAGCCAAGGAAACTCTCTGGTAATTCAACTGTTTGCGAAATGTACCGTTTCATCAGTTTCAATAGGTAAATAATCGAACGAAATGGGCCATGGCTTCAGTAGCTTTGTCAAATTTCCAGAGGGTAAGAATGACCTGGATGATTGAAAAGACCAACCACGGCTTGCCCAGAATTGATGTTCCAGCGTTAGGAAAAAGTCCCAACAAAACAGAAGGCTGTAGCCTCCTGGAATGAAACATATGTGGCAATAGGACATCCCGTATGTTTAGTGGGAAAACTATCTAAACCCCATTGTTTCATCATTTTTTGCAACGAATTTTCACAACCATTCAGTTGGTAAACGATTTTTGCATGGATGGATTCCCGGTATGCCCTCAGCGATTGGTCCAACTGAGTGGGCTTTTTTTGTGTTTTTCAGGGTTTGGGGTTTCCAACCATCTTGAAGAGTTGAAAAGTTTCATCCCATCTACCCTCTGGTAAACTAACATAGCTATGGAAAATCACTATGTTTTATGGGAAATTCACTATAAATGGCCATTTTCAATAGCTATCGTAAATTACCAGAGGGTATGAACGAGTTACCGATTTTTTTTGAGTCAATAGATCTAACACATTCAACCAGGGTGTCGTTTTGAAGGGAGCATCGAATATAAAAAAGGTGGTGCTCTCACAGTGAAAGGTTTCTTGGTTTAGATTTGTTTAGATTCAGCCCATGAATACTAGTGCGTTACGTCCTCCATAAATCCTAGTTATTGGAGTTATGTTCATTCTCAAAAAAAAACATTGGCTCCCCATGTCTGTTGGTGGTTAAATTCCAGTATGTAGGGAAAATGAGCCATTCACTTCCATGATTTATCTACTAAACATGTTGATTTTCCTGTTCGCAAACTATTAAAACCTATTATCCCACTTTAAGAACAGCATCATTATCCCATTATCATCCCAATATGTCTAGGTATTACTTCTCATCCCAATATATTATGTCGCTATTTCGCACTATAATTAAGTGGTTTTTACAATCCATATTAATGACTATATATATATAAGTGAATTATATTCACTATACAATCCGTATATTTCATCCTATGGATATTCCACTCAACTGGGACCGAAGCATCGCATTCCGAGATCATCTGAGGCGAAAGACTTTTGCTGTGCGAATCGTGTCCTGGACGTAGCAAAAAAAACGTGGAATGATGTGTACTTTTCCCAGAAATACTGAAAATATGGGATGAAAGAGGCTGAAATAGGGCTGATATATATATATACATATATATATACATATATATATATATATATCATATATATACACATATTTATATATATACACATGATGATGATGATGATGACATATGGGATTATAGATGATGGGGTTAGATTAATGGATTATTTTTGCCACGGATCCGATTCGTGGGATGCACATGAAAAAGGGTGGATATAGAACGTGTTTTTTAAAGATTTAATGGTGGTGAATATGGTTTATATATGGTTTACCCTCTGGTAATTTAACGTAGCTATGGAAAATCACCATTTTTAATGGGAAATTCCACTATAAATGGCCATTTTCAATAGCTATGTTAGTTTACCAGAGGGTATGTGGCTTTTAAGATGGTTTTATATGGAAGTTTCTGAAAATGGTGGATAGTACATTAAACAAAGCATAAAAATCAGCCCCTTTATGATTTGCCAATGGGATTTCATCAATCCAGGCTGGTTCATGACATTGCTTTGCTAAATTAGCTATTTATGGTGGTTTTATGTGGCAAAAATGGTGGTGAATGTGGTTTTTATATGTTTTTATATGCTTTGATGGGATGAATATGGGATGATAAAAGGACATGAATGGACACTCCGGTGTCCTCAAACGCGGTGATTTCTGGGAAATCCTGCCTAGCCATGGAGGTTTAGTTGGGAAAACAGTTGAACTAAATGGTGGATAACCAGTTCGCTATGTGAAATTTTCGGATAGTATGTTCCCATTATGTCATCTTTTTTTTTTGATTTTCCCCCGCATTTAATCAACCAGAACGGAATCTACTGGGATTAGATTCAGAGATGTCAAAAAAGTAAACCTGGAAAAGATCGACAAGTCAAGTCATTGATCACGATTTTTTCATATTTTTTCTATAGGATCTTACTAATAAATTACTAATAATATGACTGTTCTATTTTTTGAGGGGATCCAGGATGCCATTTTTCACCTTCTTTTCATACGGAAAGTCTGCCGACCCAACCGGTCCAGGTGCTGGAGCAGCGTTCCTCCGCACGACACGATGAGTTGTGCCATGTGCCACGGCACCACGAGCCTTCGTCCTTCGTATCGAGAACGATGGCAGAGTCAGTTTGGTGGTGCACCAGGCGCGGTTTTTTAAGCTGGAAAAAGCTGGAAAAATTGGATACATTTGGATACTATAATATTGATCACAAATACAGCTATAATATTGATACTATACTATAATGATTTAGTATGAAAATGAAAAAAAACAGCTATAATACTACAATACTGACAATACTATAATATGGATCTGGCCACACGTAGAACATCAAGCTGGCCACTGAGTTTGAGTTTCCTATCTCTCCACGTCGACTTGTGTTCCAGCCGTTACCCTCCTGTTGAAAAAACATGGCGTGCTGGAAAGTTCCCCATTTCGTGCTGGATGATTTTCCCAGCTATCAACTGAATCAACATTCCTTTTTTATCCCATATCACGATATCATATCACCATCAATGATAATATTAATCCAATAATATATCATATCATCACCAATCCCATGTCATCCCATGGTCAACCATAAATCGAACCATAATAACACCATATCAAAACCCATCAAAAAAAAACACACATGTTGAAAAAAAAAACACATAAAAGACCATTATATATATATATACTATATATATAATATATATTATATACTATATATATACTATAGACTCAATATATATATAACCCATTAAATATATATTGTATATATATATATGTATATATATATGTATATATATATATGTATATATATGTATATATATATATATGATGTATGTATAAAACCCAGGATTAACCATGAAAAGTCCCAGGAATCGGCCCTGATCTTCTCGGCCAGGCCTAGAGATTTGCCCCAAGGAGGCGTGGTCTGGACAGGCCACGCCCGGCGTTGCGCCCGGGTTTCGCCGCTGGAAGTTGTGACTCTTTGGGGATTTTTACCATCCAAAATGGATGGTGAATGGATGATGAATGATGGGAAAAACATGGAAAAACCCGGCCTGAACTTAAAAACTTACAAAAAACGATATATGGAAAGATCCAGCATTTTCAATGGGTAAATCCACGAAGTAAATCACCATTTTCAAGTTCGCAAACTGTCAGCCATTACCAGAGGGTATGTCTGCTTAAAAAATTGATAAACATCGGATGAACATGATTTCTTTGAACATGGATGTTGAGAAAATGGTTGATGTTGGATGTCAATTCTGATGGTTGATGTTCAATGAAATGCTGATAATGGTGTATGTTTGATGTTCAAATGATGGTTGATGTGATTTATGCTTTATGTGAAATCCAGGTGATAAGCAATGAAACTACCCTCTGGTAATTTAACAGTTTGCTATTGAAAATGGTGACTTATAGTGGATTTACCCATTGAAAATTGTGATTTTCCATAGTTATGTTAGTTTACCAGAGGGTACCTCTCTATATATTTTTTTTCCTCCTGCTCATCGAAACTGCGTCGTTGCGGCAGAGGCATGGGTGAATTCTATATATATGATATATGTTTGAGAAAATGAAAACGTATGTGTTATGGTTCCAAAAGTTTATCTAAATGACATGGATAAACTATCCATAAAGCTAAAGGGAGGTTTCCTGAAATCGGGTTACCCCAAATCATCCATTTTGGTAGGTTTTTCGATATTTTTCATTATAAACATTATAAACCATCCAGCTATTGGGGTACCTCCATTTTACGAAACCTCCAAATGAACATGATAGCTAAGTGGGTTGTAACTAGGTGAAATCCATGGTTTGTGGTAGATATTTCGAACTAGATCATGGGATTGATGGGATTTTCTGTCATGGAAAATCAACGAAAAATGGATGAGTTGGGGGTGTAGCCCCCCATTTTAGGACACCTCCAAATGCACATTTTAGGACACCTCCAAATGCAAACCGGTGTTTCCTGGATGCTTTATGTATGGTTCATAAAGCCGATGGTTTTTCCATCAGCGTCTGTCACAGGAAGCTCAACACTCAGGGCAATCCATTCTGCGAAGCTTGGATTCGCCACATGGGATTTCATGGGGATTCAAGTGGAACATGGGGAGATTTCAGAGATCCCATGGAGAGGGGATTTACCGTTCACCATGAGGCCCTTTTTTCTACTATTACAGTCGACTGAAAATTCAGCCTATTCTGAGCAGGGAAAGCTGAAAGCATGCTGAAAGCTTCTGAAATCGACTGGAGAGTTTCGACTGGTGGGACTGGCTCAATGGTCAACCATCCCTTACTAAAAACCATGGCTATTGAGCATCAATCCATATAGCTTTATGACATTGCTTTACTTTGCCATTAGGTTGACTCCCATTCTTTGGATGATTCACTTTCTACACCAGCCTTTAGTGTTTGGATCATATGGGAGGCTCAACCATCCCATCAAGCAGTAGATCATATGGGACCAGTTGAGATTTCTGAGAGAGCCGATTAACCCCCGGACCAGTTGAGGTGGATCAATTACCCTCTGGTCATGGCTGACAGTTTGCGAACTTGAAAATGGTGATTTAGTTCGTGGATTTACCCATTGATAGCATGCTGGATCTTTCCAGTTCTTTTTTTGTAAGTGTACCAGGCCGGGTAGTTGATATGGCTGATGGTTATACAGATGCCCGTTGATGGTCAATCTCCATTTGGAATGGAAGACTTTAACGGACCGAGGTGGTCCGTAGAGATTGGGGTCCATAATTTGTAGACCATTCATTTCTTTGATGAATATCATAATATATCTAGAAAATATCTATCATATATCTATAATACCATTTCACATGTCATTTTATATCATCTTACCCCATATTACCCATATTCATTACTTTATCCAATACTTGGTTGAAGTGAAAATACAGAGGAACCCCCATATTTGAGAGCTAAGACCATGGTTTCCTGTGGATGTTCCCTTAAACCAACCCTGTGAAGTGATGCCTCAGGAAAGCAAATGGCTGCCATGGTGGAGGAATTGACTCGGCAGAGGGCAGAAATTCAACAACTCAGGCAGTGAAATCATGGTGTTTCTCCGAAGTGATAGATACTTTTCTAGAGATATCGACTTACCAACTGAAGCTCTTCCCTGAAAAAAAACCAGCCTATCTCCTAAAGAAATACTCGGGGCAAGCAAGTTCGTCGATGTTTTGCCAGTCAGCACGGAAATGCTCAAGAGCAGTTTGTTGCGATTGGCCATGCATTTGGGATTGGAAGGGAACCCCTACATAGGCAGGCAGCCCCACTTCCGCCACCGCCAGATGGGAGAAGGAAGAACTACGAAGAGAACTGGAGCAGAGAGCCACTTGAACAGTGGGTTTGTCTATCGGATACCTATGGATACCATTTGGATACCTCTATTTGTCCATCCCGTGATCTTGTTCTTCAAAAATTTGAAGGATCCAATTTTTGACAAGCCCAGCTTCAGCTTCCGCTGTCCAAGACAGCCGAAGAGCTAAGAGCAGAAGCTTCGCCCCGCCGCGCAACGCGGGCGAAAATTCCGCCCGGTAACGCGGTGGCGTCGCCACCAGAAAGTCGTCATTGTCGTGTCGACGTGTTTTTTGAAGATGGACCCGAAAGACAAACGGCCCCGAAATTGTGAGTTTTCCATTGAATGTGGCTATAAATATGGGTTCCAGGTAAATTTTTGGGACTATCCTTGTTTGGTATTTAGATCTTCTCAGGAAAACACTTTGAGTTGGAGCCAAGATGATTTCTAACTTGTTGTATCAGGTGATGTGATCTTTCGCACTGTCTGGAGCCTTCAATTTCAAGGGGGACATGACACAAGATGCAAGAATATCCAGGATTCATGTTCACAAAAATATGGCATTTCTACCACCATCAACCCATCAATTTTGGTTACATCTTTTTTTCATACCCTCACTAGGTAATCTCGCTGGAAAATCCCAGCATATATATGGATTTTCCCATGAAACGCACATTTTCAAATGAATAGATGTAAAGATTCATAATCCATTCACCCATTCACAGGGGGAAATCCATGGAAATCCACCATTTTCCCAGGGAAATTCCAAGCCAGCCATAGACAACATCAGCTCGCCACTCCGAGAGTGCCAATACCGTAGTCGTTTTTCGCGCAACGCCGGTCAACTGCGATGTGAATCACAGGATATCGTTTTTGGCTTTTTATCCCATAAAAAAAAGGAAAACACATTTTCTATGCACAGTGTTTCATAGGAATCCTCATAGTTATTGGTGATGGCTTGTCCATCCACAGTATCACAAGGGTGATAGAAAAGTAAAATCCCAGGAACGTTGTGATCCATGGTGTTCCTACCTGAAAAAACGAGGCTTACCTGACCTAATACACCTCAATGTTATGGCCAAATTCACGGGGAACATCATATTCTAAACTATCGGTTAGATCCATTCTCCAACATACTGGTAACATAACAGTTGTTTATTCAGTGCAATGAATGCGCCTACAGCTATATGATTCATTCACCCGAAATTGATCCAACATTGAGTAAATGTTGGGACAATATCCAAGTAATACATTTTTTTCAATTGAATCATGATACAACTGTATCCCATAGGATCCATGTATGCTATATACGGTAACATTTACCATCAATATACCACAAATGTTAGCATATATACCAGCACCATGGATCCTATGGGGTAATTAATTGCAGTCCCCATAATTTATCTAATGAATCCAGCACAGTAAGATGGTTGAAGTTGTGAGGTGTTGCACTGCGCAGAGAGGCAATGAGATCGAGCGCGGCAGGGTGGATTTGGTGCCGCGCACGTCTTCAAGAAATGATCCAAAAAACACATGGGAAAATATGGCAAAACACAGAATCCAAAATCCATTGATTGAGAAAAACCATGGTTCCGAAGCTATAAAAAATGACCATAAATTATCATAAATGGGGGTATCCACCATGTTTGGGGAAAAAAAAAGTGCACATGGATTGCTTGCTGTTCCATCCCTCAAATATCACATGCCTTCGTACTCAGATGAAACGGCAAGTATAAATCCAGACTGCTTCGCAGGTTTTGCCTCTGAGTGTTGTGTCACCCACATCAATTGTCTGATGTGGCAATTTCTGTTTCTGTTTCCAAACAGATTCAGCTTCAAAAGATTTTTCAGTTATTCATTGTTTTATCCAAAAGAAAATGTGTTCGCGATGGAGATGAAAGCGAATTTTTATGGCTTCAGTTCATGATTTTTTCTCAGATTGACAAATTGGTGTAAAAATTGGTTTTATCTCCAACGGTTGATTCCCAAAGCCTCCACTGTCAACAGTTTAGAGCGGTTTTTCTCCGAACGGAGGACCGGAACTTGGGACAGTGCCGCAGTGTCACAGCTACCCCTTTGGGTGACTCTCTTGTGAGGGGATGGCGGATTGTGGTTCCTGGTATCCTGGTTGAACACTCAGTAAATCTATGGTTGTTATAAATGTAAATTCATGTTCATCCCCCAACGTCCAAAAAATATAGTTAGGTTTTGATCCGTTCATTCACTTATTTTTGTGTTGATGTTTGCTTTTCGCATTGTTTTTAATGACAGCATGGCTAGACTCAGCTGTACTTCGGAGCAGGAAGTCAAGCAGAAAGCCCGTTTTTAAGATATGGACCATCTCAGAAAGGGATTATTTTTTCAAATTACAGGTGAGTTAGGTGTTCCTTCCGGTACCTTTTACATGTTTTTCACTTTCAAGCTTGCATGAATCTCGACTTCTTGTGGGGGACCTTTTTGGTACCGATATCTCAAGCACCTGCTGTTTTGCAGCTATCCCTGGCTATCTTTGAACTATGCGATCTGCAGCCATGAACGAGCCGGCTGCGTCTTAGTTGGGTGTCTTCGAATTGATGTCGTAAATCGGCGCAACTTTTGTCCATATTATGTCCGTTATATGTCCGGGACATGTTTTTGTTTGAACTGTTGAGAAATGTTGGATGTGTCGGATGTTTTTGGGTGTTTAGTGCCTGGCAGTTTAAAAAACGTCTCGTTTTTCTCCAATGGTTTTTCGTACGATGTTTATCTCGACTCGCTGACCGAAGACGTCTCCCATTTTCGATTCAGCAAAAACTGCGCTCGGCGCTGGCCATGGATTCACCCAATGGTTTTGCTGATCAGACAATCCCGTTTTTAAATGGCTATTTCATTGGGAAGATTAACCCAACATTTTCAGACAAACCCAACTAACATATGATAACTATGGCTGATGGTTTATACAGAGATGGTGATGAATTAGGTAGGGATGCTGGAAAATTCTTGGGTTTACCAGGCATAAAACCACTTTTGTAACCAAATTCATATTCATTACTTACCGCTTGAAGTTTCGAAGTTGATCAGTGGGAATTTCACCACCAGGGACATATACCCATGACGGATCCGGCTTGTGCTGGTAGAAAAATGCTAACATGACTGGGGTATATTGATGGGATTCATGGAGCACCATATATAGCAGCACCATGGATCCGTCATGGGATATATGATGTATATATATATATACATATATATTGGGCAGTATCATTCACGATGAACAAATCCCAATCCCAATCGGCGGATTAGTTGATCTGTTTGGATGTGCATGACCAGTGATGTGGGGCCAGACGTGGGTATATTCTTAACAACCCCAGTCATGGCAAGATTCTTGTTTTGGAAGTATGGCAACCAAAATTGCCGTGGCTTTCTGGTCATCACGAGTCATCACTCCATGACGGGTTCCATTAGAATCCCACGTAACTTGACCGTGGAAAACATCATGGCGCATATATCATCTTGTTGGCTATGTCCCATTATATCTCCAAATCATACTGTGGTGGCAAAATCCTGCAGGCAGGCTTACTATTGCTACTATTGCTAACTTGTTTTTCCACACTGTAATTTTCATGGGCTTTTCTGGATGTTAATCATCTACCAACTGGTTTATTGGATGTCGCTGGCCCATCCAAATCAAATAAACTACTTGGAGAATCATCCCATGGATCGTGGCGTAGCTGTGGTGGTTGTTGCTGTTGTCAACCGTGGTCCCAGCAAGTAGATTATCCATGATTATCCCATTCAAAAACATGGCTGAACTAACCTCACTTGCTGAAAAAATCCTGATATTCCTGGCACCCAAGTACCCAAGCCACCAAAAGTTATTCCAGAGTCTTGTTCCAGGCGAATCCAGCATCTACACCTCTCAGTGATTCATTGTCTGACACTGAGGCCGCATAGAAATGTTCTGGAAATTTTCTGGAAATGGTGATCATCCATTTATGGGGAGATTTTGAAATGGGATATGTATCCATGAACAATAGGGATATCATGATGGTTAACCCCAAGACTTGCTGCTTGATCATCTTTATATGATTGATGTATACATATATATAGATAAACAGTTGTCTGATCAAAAAATGCAAGCATATTTTCCTAACGATGTTCAGACACATCCATATCATAAATTCGCTCCTAGAGGTGATGGAGGTGATGGTGACCCAGGGGTAGATTTTTAGCCAACAGCAGCCTCACCAGCTTGAATTCATAGTTTGATCCAAACCCAATATTTATAATAACAATGATTATAATACTGCTACTGCTGCTAAGTATACTACTACTTTACTACTACTTTACTACCACTTAACTACTACTTTGACTACTACTTTACTACTACGTTACTACAACTTCACTACTACTTTTCTACTACTTGAACTACTACTTTGACTACTCCTTGTCTACTACTTGGATACAACTTTACGATTACTTTAACTACTACTTTACTACAACGTCACTACTACTTTACTACTACTTGAACTACTACTTTGTCTATTCCTCGTCTACTACTCGTATACAACCTTATAACTACTTTGACTACTGCTTGTCTACTACTTGTCTACAACTTTACTACTTCTTTACTACTATTATACTACTATTATACTACTACTTTGCATTACTGGTAGTAGTAGTAGTAGTAGTAGTAGTAGTAATAGTAGTAGTAGTAGTAGTAATAGTAGTAGTAATAGTAGTAGTAGTAGGAGGAGTAGTAGTAGTAGTAGGTAGTAAGTAGTAATAGTACCAGCAGTACCAGTAGTACCAGTAGTACCAGTAGTTTTGCAGTAGCAGTAGCAGTGGTAATGGTAGTGTAGTGGCAGTGGTAGTGGTAGTGGCAGTGGTAGTGGTAGTGGTAGTACTATTACTAGTAGTACTACTGCTGCTGCTGCCCCTACTCCTACTCCTCCTGCTACTACTACAGCTACTACTCCTACTACTGCTACTACTGCTACTACTGCTACTACTGCTACTACTGCTACTACTGCTACTGCTACTACGCTACTACCACAACGACGACGACAACTACTCCTACTCCT